CATAGAAGAAGCATAGAAGAAACATGCGTAAAAACCGGCGACCACGTCGCACTTGCCAGTGTCCGCTGCAGACCGGCCGGAAAAAGCAGCTAAATACTAGAGATGCAGTTCATCTCGACATGTCAAGGGAAATTAATATTATCTTTGCAGAACTCGTTTCAACGGCTTCCCGTAAGTATGATTTTTATGTAAATTCTATCTGCGTACCGTGATACCGCTATATTGTCGATAGTATAGCAGTATCACGGTACATATCTTGCGATGGAATCACACCAGTTGTTTTGTTTTACACTTACTTGCGTGCGAACTTTGGCCTAAATGTCAATCACATTCTAAAGTACTGAATCCTAACGTTTACCGCACCTCAATATAGGTGTTGATCGTATTTTAATTTTACTCTGCACCACATTTCAGGACAATACCTGATTGGTAGGCTAGAGTTTGAATCAAAATCATACTTACGAGAACCTGTTGAAACGAGTTCTGCAAAGATAGTATTAACTTCCCTTGACATGTCGAGGTGAACTGCATCACTAGAATTTAGCTAATTTTTCCGGCCGGTGCGCTGCGGGTAGTGGCAAGTGCGACGTGGTCGCCAGTTTTTACCCATGTTTCCCCTATACTTTTCGCAGTTCCAAAAAGTTCTTCAAGTTGATCAGGGGAAAGGGCGTGTGGCAACCCTGGCCTGTTAACGATAAGCTCATATTCTTGTACCTTTCCTCTAAGCTGACTTGGGTGACATGCTTGTTGATGATCATTGATGTCACCTCTACATTCTGAAGGCTTTATTAACCTCGCTGAAGACTCGCTACTAACTGAAGTCTCTCTGGTTTCAAAAAAGAACTTGGATGCCATTCTACACTTGACGGACTTCCAGAAAAAGGGCCAGCAGGTTCAACCGCAATGGTTAATGCGGACCTCTATGAAAACACCAACACTGCTGAGCTCGATGGTGCGATCGTTCTGCCTTAAATTCCAAATTTTAGCCCTCAAACTTCGACACTTAGATTTATGGAGTACTATGACTGATCCTTGAAGAAAATAAAGCTGCAATCCAAAGTTTCAACATGACATTAAGCGCGAAACATGGCTTTAGGTTCGAGTTTAGTTCGCAACAACGAGTTAGAGAAGAATATCAATATATCCCTATCTCTGAAATTTGGAGCTATTTGTTGGAGTTGTTATTAAGTTCACCAGTTTGTGGTGCGTGGAGTATCTGAAGTTTCACATAAACCCAAGATGCGTCAAAGGTAAGCTGTATTTAAGACGAAATCTGCTCTACTGATTCGATTTTGGTGTAGGTGAAAAAATCGCGAATGCTCGTATAAATGTCCTGATTCAAATGGTCCGAACCTTTGAAAAGTCGAAAACGTACAGGGTTTTTTGCATATTTTTGCCTATGAAGGCACTTGACGGCTGTGTAGGAGAGAGTTGTCAACCAGGTCCCAAATCCCACACCTTAACGTTTAAATCAAGGTTATTTACGGCCATCGGCCGATGGCTATTTATAGTTGTCAAAATATGCTAACAATTCGCCTTTTCAAATTTATTAACAGGGAAATTCTAACTTTCTTGGCAAACTAGAAAGGCTTTTAAGCTTTTAAGCTCAAACCACTAGAGCAGATTTCGTCTTAGATACAGCTTATCTTCGACGCATCTTGGGTTTATGAGAAACTTCAGATACTCCACGCACCACAAACTGGCGAACTTAATAACAACAACAAATAGCTCCAAGCCTCAGAGATCGGGATCTATTGACACTTTTCTCTAACTCTTTGTTGCGAACTAAACTCGAAACTAAAGCCATGTTACAAACTATGCCTATTTTTCAATTTTCGAGATGTTGC